AAAGTTTAAATTTCAGACTCTGATTTGTACCTTTATAATTTGGATGTTCGACATAACGTAGAAGGCTTGATAAAAAGAACCGATTTTGTCTCCCAAGTCCCACCGGAAGAAATCAATCTAATATAAGATCAAAATCATGTTTAAAACTCTGTTCAGACATAACACAAAACGTAACGTGCTCTCGATGAGAGCTTTGATTTTTGGACACTTACCCACAACGATATTAGAACAACGGAGCACAAATCTCTGATGAGCTTTTTCTTCCAATTGAGAGTATCTCTTTCAAATCAACCTAATTGTTCTATCGAACAACAAGAACAAAAACTTTTTGAAACTTAAGAGAGAAAAATTAGATGTTGGGTTTGTGGTAGATTTAGGTTCATAATTTATAGGCAATTTTCGAAATAAATTTAACGGTCATCTTCAAACGGCTCTATGATTTGACAATTAGAAAGATTTAATTATACTAACCATCGAGGAAAAACTAGTTTTGGGCCTAACTAGTGAGGTCCAATTAGTTTCAATAAATACTTCATTTCGTGGTTCATTGTTTTTTTTTTCTTTTTTGTTAACCTACGAAGTTTCAATAAATACATAAACTTTTGCCGATCGAGATCAAGATTCCTTAAATCTTTTGTTGACCTGAAAGATCACGAAAGTGAATCATTCGTTCGTTGTAGATTATAAAAAATATGTGAAAAACGTATAATCTTTGCATGTGCAAAGCTTCGGATCTTGAATATTTTGTTTATCCATAGATCATTATTATTTTGTTCTCTAGTAGCTATATAATTAAAGAGAAGAATGGATATAGTATAGTTGTCGTCGATAAGTTTAAAAAACTTAGGAAACATGAAAAATGTTGGGATGATCATTGACAGACACTGAATCTACACAATCTTACTTAGAAAATAGAAACATGATTTTTGAGCAAACCCAAATCAGTCCTCACAATTTCTCGTTTTACAACAACTCGGGAATTGCTTTTTTTTACTTTATCATCAC